CATACTCAGCTGGCTCCAAGGCAGAGTGGCACAGGGGACAAACCATTTCTTCATGGCAGTGGCAAAGAGCAAAGGGAGGGGAAGCAGCTAGCCTGTCTTCCCTCCTTACATTGAAATGCAGATTCCTTGTGCCAGGGTGGGTGCAGCACCCACACCTACAATAATCACTCCAGAAGCCGCCCTGTGGCTGCATGAGGCTTTAGTGGGACACTTACACACAAACTGTAATAGATACTTAACTTACAAGAAATTAGTTCTCCTGTGGTTTACTTATTTTTTTATATTTTTGGTTTTTTTGAGACAGGGTCTCACTATGCAGTTCAGGCTGGCCTTGAGCTCACTTTTGTAGCACAGGCTGGTCTTGAACGCACAGTGATCCTCCTGCCTCAGCCTTCTGAATGCTGGGACTACATGTGTGCAGCACCATGCCTAACTCTTCTGTGGTTTATTTATGTCCAGTGGACAAAATATTGTTTTCTGGCCACCTGACATAGATTTTTTTCTATTTGTTAACTTGCTAGGAAGAAAATAAGCCCCATTTGTAGAGTAAGATAGCTTCTCTTGGTACCTGTTACTGTGCTTTTCTGTACCCTGAGTTTTCCTGTCTCTGGCCAGTTTCTTGTTGTTAAGTCATACTTAGTCATTCATCATCCCATTTCCTCAGTAATCCAAACTACTGCTCTGCTTTATCAGTTCTTAGGAAACAAAAGTCCTCGCCAAGACCCTTAGCTGTTATTAAGGAAGATCACCATTATGATACTAGCTCAAGTAGTAATTAATTGTAAACTCCTTATTGTTGGGAATTTTATATTACCGATATTTTCAATTTCTACTACTACCACCACTGTATTTCTGTGTAATATTATAGCTTACCTAGATGCTCAGGGCAGCTATGCTTTAATAGTGCTATGCTTTATTTAATCCTGCTCTTTTTTGTCCACTCTCAGTTTTAAGTTATGAAAGACTTCAGATAATCTACATAACAATGACTTGTTTTTAAATCACATGTTTTGATTTTGCAGATGAGCAGGATGAAGAAACAGTTACAACAGGTGGAAAGGTAAATATTTTGGTTTGGCACAAGATCACATTCTCTGCTGTTTGGTGTACTGAGCAGAAATGCTGAAGTGAAAGTGTTCTTAGAACTCTATTTTGAGGCCCCTTAGATTTGAATTTTTCTCCCTCCCTCCTTCCCAGGCTCAGGAAAACCTCTTGCCTCAGCTGCTTGGGTAGCTGAGACTGCAGGTACATGCCTCAACCCTCTCAGCTCAATCTTCTGTGTAGTACTCTCCCAGAATATTTGTCTTCTTAAGTTGTTAAAATTTTATAAGAATTTCCTCCAGTCATGTCCTGCACATGGTGTGGTTTCTGGTTCCACAGTCCTGTGAGTAGAAACCTGACCACACTGTTCATGTGTTGTTGGACAGTACAGATGAGCAAGGGACCATGGCTGGCCTTGAGTTTTTGACATAACTTTGATCCACAGGGATATAGCTCAGTAATAAGTGCTTGCCTGGCAAGCACAAGGGCCTCAGTTCAATCCCCGGTTCTGCAAGAAAAAAAAAAACCAAAAACAACTTTGATCCACAGCTAACACATGATAGGTTCTGACCCAAGTACAAACTGCTAAATTATCATTGCCCTAATTCAACATGGCTGAATGAATCCTTGAAACAACAGCTTTTTTTTTCCAGTGGCCACTTCCCCCTCCTTCCCCACTCTAGCCTTTTATACAACTTGCTTTTACCTTTCATATCCCCCCCCCCCGTCAACTTCCAGTGTGTTTCCTAACCCATCCCTCAGACTCCACCCCCAGCAAATGTCCATGAAGTCTCAGCCTCCCTGCCCTTGATCCTCTCTGTGTCTTCAGAGTTCATAACCCCCCCACCCCTTCATTTCTGTTTCTAATAAAACCTAACAATATAGACTTCACATTGTGCTCATGCCCTTTCCCGAGTCCTTAGTTCTTATTTCATTGTTTCTGTGCCTTGGCACACCAATCATCGTGTCAGAAGGTGTTAGATGTAAGGCAGGGATTTACTTTGGTGTCTTTGGGTAAGTTCCCCATTGTTTGTCTTGTGCCCTTGGCTTTCTTGGGAAAATTCCTTAATGTACTGAAAATGATTCGATTACTTTCTCTATCATAGGAATGCCCTAGACTGACATTTAACAGTGTGTTGTATATATTCAGGAAACGAACTTGGATTTCTAGGGAAAAACCTTTCACCAAAAAAAAAAAAAAAAAATTTCTGCTATTACTGTTCTATTTTTTTTGCCCAGAACTGAGAATTGAACCCAGGGCTTCATTCATGCTAGGCAGATACTTTACCACTGAGCCAAACCCACTGCACTTAGCAAAATCTTTTTTTTTTTTTTTTGTATTTTAGGGAAGGGTCTACATGGTGTTTAGGGTCTCACTACTAGATCAGACTCTAGTGATCTGCCTGTTTATAGCCTCCCAAGAGCTGGGAATTCAGGTGACACCACACCCAGTCTCAATTGCCAATTCTGCGCGCCCCAGGGGCAGGGCCAGCTCAGCAGGCCCAGGGATCGAACCCCTGACCCCTGCGCTTGCTTGCAGGCACTTAACACATTATTATGCCTTCATTTCTTCTGTTGTATTATGGGATTTTTTTGTTTTATTTTCTATTACTGTTCTTTTGCTCTTTGAGAGGGTTTAGTGATACAGCTTAGGCTGGCCTTCACTGTGTAGCCCAGGCTGGCCTCTAACTTGTAGGTTTTTATTATTATT